AACAACCGATACAGGAACACGAAGCGTACGCGCGAGAGACCGAGCGGCCATTTTGAAACGCCGAGACAGACTGAGAGTGAGCGAGCGAGACAGACTGAGACAGAGCGAGCGATACAGAGCGAGTGGAATAGACTAAACAAGAGCGAGCGAGACAGATGATATGAAATGATAAATAGAATAATATGTAAATGCGAGGAGGAGGGCGCTACAATTGAAACGACGTATATTATATACGTATTCATGACGAATTAAAATTAAAATTAAAATTATAATTGGAAAAGAATGAACATGGAATAGATACCCAATTGTAAAGTTCGCATGCGACCGACACCCATATTATGATAGCGAGTGACAACTACCCCGTTAGGTTTAAACTATAAATTAACCGACAGAATTCGAACCTCTGACGAAATTCGCTAGTGACGTCACGACCAATCAGTGAATTAGAATAAAATTTGATTTTCGTCCGGATAGAAAAATAGACAAGAGTAGGGGTAGATCTTTTCCGACAATTAATGATAGCTACCTTAGTGGGGGGTGAGAGAGGGTAAATAACGACGAAAGTAGGAGAGTTAAGGAGGGCGCTGTATCCTTCTAATTTACATACGGACCAATGAAAAAATATTCGGAGGGCGCTACCGATATCCGAATTAGCATACCGACCAATAATAACATTTCTTCTCGGAAAGAGGAGAAGAAAAGCGATCTTTGACCGCGAAAAGCCGATTCTCGTCCATTTTGCCACCGGTCTTCAAGCTAGAAGGAGTGATTGAGCCAGATAATTTCGTCACACAGGACTAATTACGCAGTCATTCTGTGATCTGAACGCAGCAATCTGATATTAGCTAATTTTGTTCACCGAAACAGTAAGGAAGAATCGTAAGTAGGCAAAGTGCCACTCACTTATATTAATCGCGGAGTACGGGAATAAAATTTTCAGTGTTGTAGGTCGTCGCGACGCGTGGATCCGTCGATGCCGGTGCCTATCGAATCGTGCTGACTTCCCGCCATTTCGTAGATCGAACGTGAGTGCTAGGTTTATACGAATTAGAGGTTGTGATTAATTATCCGCGCTGACCTTTTGCCGTATAGTATTTTATTGCGTACGCAGAAGTAGGCGAGGTAACATTATTGATTAATTTATTCGCGCTGACCTGCTCGCCATTTAGCCGAATAGAATTGTCGTGCTTATTGAATTGTGCTGACCTTCCCGCCATTTCGTAAACCGAATGTGTGCGTTAAGATCAGGCAGAGAAAATTCGCGAGTTGAGTTATTCGCGCTGACCTTTCGCTAACAATTTATTGCGAACACAGAATTAGCCGAATACACTTGTAATGTGGCACATTACAAGGCCTTCTGAGTGCTGCATTATTTGCAGCACTTCAGAAAGACCATCCCCGTCCCTTGCCGCCCCGTAACCGGTTGTTTAAAATAAAGCTAAACACGTCCTACACCGAACAATTATTATTTTCCATGTCCGAATGACCACGCCGGAGATATGGGCGAAACAAACTTGCCCAACACGATCCGACGGATGCTCAAAGAGCAGAAAAAAAAAGGAGCGCACCACAGAAAAAGAGAGCGCACGCACACACTCACTCACAGACACTCCCGACCACGTGTTGCCGGCCGGCAAAAGAAAAATGCAAAACCTGACTGGGAAATGCAACGGAGATGCATGTTGATGACACATGCAGATCCGTTACACTCCCAGACACTAACACGAACACTCACGAGGCACTGACACTCCTGGGGCGAGCAGAAAATCGCCGATGAAGTGGCAGCCGGCAATCAGCTGTGTCGGGCTGCCGAACACCATCGGCGACATCCTGAGCGCCACACACACGAAAATCAGCGACCACATACACAAACACCCGGAACAACACCACAGAACCGACACGGGAGCGCCCCAGGAGGCGCTCCAACAACCGGCGCAAGGACACGAGGCGTACGCGCGAGAAACTGAGCGGCCATCTTGAAGCGCCGATATAGACTGAGAGCGAGCGAGCGAGACAGACTGAGACAGAGCGAGCGAGACAGAGCGAGCGAAGCAGACTAAACAAGAGCGAGCGAGACAGACTGAGACAGAGCGAGCGAAATAGACGAAACAAGAGCGAGCGAGACAGACAATATAAAATAATAGAATAATATGTAAATGCGAAGATGAGGGCGCTACAAATGAAACGGCGTATATTATATACGTATTTCTGAGATTAAAATTAAATCATAAATTGAAAAAGAATGAACACGAAGCAAATATCGAATTGTAAAATTCGCACGCGACCGACACCCCTATTATGATGGCGAGCGACAACTACCCCCTTTAGGTTTAAATGATAATTTAACTAACTGAATTCGAACATCTGACAAAATTCGCTAGTGACGTCACGACCAATAGGCAAATTAGAATAAAATTTGATTTCCGTCCGCATAGACGAATAGATAAGAGTAGGGGTAGATCTTTTCCGACAATTAATGATAGATTCCTTAGTGGGGGGTGAGAGAGAGTAAATAACGACGAAAGTAGGAGAGTCAAGGAGGGCGCTGTATTATTCTAATTTACATACGGACCAATGATAAAAATTCGGAGGGCGCTACCGATATCCGAATTAGCATACCGACCAATAATAACATTTCTTCTCGGAAAGAGGAGAAGAGAAACGATCTTTGACCGCGAGAAGCTGATTCTCGTCCATTTTGCCATTGGATACCTGGAGAGAAGGAGCTCTGTTAGCTAATTTTCGCCGTCGAACCTCTAGCGCTAGACGTCTCCTAAGCTCTCTGTTGCCAATTTTGTTTGCCAGTATCGCAAGGAAAAATTTGTAAGTAGGCAAAATGCCGCTCATTTTTAATTAATCGCGGAGTGCGGGTTAAATTATTTAATTTATTTAGTTCGGTTCTGTAGGTCGTCGCGACGCGTGGATCCGTCGACGCCGGTGCCTACCGGATCGTGCTGACCTGTCCGCCATTCCGCGAATATAGATTGAGTGTTCGGTTACGAGAGAAAATCGCGACTTAGTATTCGCGCTGACCTTTCGTCGACCTTATTAAGTGTTCGTTTTGTGAAAGAAAGTCGCTACTTGGTATTCGCGCTGACCTTTCGTCACGTTTATTAAGTTCGTTTTACAAAAGAAAATTGCAATTCGATATTCGCGCTGACCTTTCGTCAACGTTTATTAAGTTCGTTTTACGGAAGCCAATTGCAATTTAGTATTCGCGCTGACCTTGCGTTAGTTACTTAGTACGAACGTAGGTTCAATTGGATTAAATTGTTTTGACTAATTAGTTGTGCTGACCTTTCCGCCATTTCGCAAACCGAATTTGAGCGTTAGGTCTTATAAAAGAAAATTGCGATTTGTTACTCGCGCTGACCTTTCCGCCATTTTAGGAACCGTTTAAATTGTATCTTAGGGATTAGTGAGAATTCAGAATTCTACCGACCACATTTATTCCGACCTCGTATGTGAGAAACTTTTAATGCATCAATAAAACAATTAATTGTCTTTATATACATATGTATATCTTACTTGATAACCTGCCCCTGTTGCATGTTAGTGATTTTCAGCCGCGGTCGGTTACATACGGGTTTATTAATTCGCTATATTTTCGGATTATTCATTAGGTAAAATACGCGCGATTTCGAACGTCCTCACGACCTGACTTAAGGAGTCATCAACTGAGCTGCCGGCATACACTAATCAAGGAGGGAATTAGCATCGAACGTTGGACACCAAAGGCCTGAACCTCGGACACAACGCGTATCCCCCCATCTGCTTACTCTGCGCAGTCGCCGTTAGGCAGACCGGGATACGCGTAACCCTACTGGCCTTACCCCCGACGATCGCCGTAATCAGCCGACGGTCTGGCGCCCTAAATAATCGGGGGTAGAACCAAACAGGCCTTGTGGCGGAAGAACTCGGAGCGCGGTCAAACCCCCCGAAATTCCCTGCCACACACTTACCGTGCTTACTTAATCGCACTGACCTTTCCGCCATTTTCTAGATCTAAAGTACGTGTTAGGTTCATACGAATTAGAAGCAGTGGTTGAGTTATTCGCGCAAACTTTTCGCTAACGATTTGTTGCGAACGTAGAATTGGCCGAATATACTTACCGTGCTTATTTAATTGTGCTGAGCTTCCCGCCATTTCGCAAACCGAACGTGAGCGTTAAGATCAGACAAAGAAAATTCGTGATTTAGTTATTTGCGCTGACCATTCCACCATCTTTGTTAATCGATGACCGACCGGAAAATTATTAAATTTCGATTAATTTGTACCCTTGCTAATTCATAATTATTCAGAGTTGTACTGACCCTAATCACTCCGACTTCTTGTTTATAAATTAATAAATACGTCAATAAAGTGATTAATTGTTTCTTTACATATAATTTACTTCTGTTACCCTGCCTCAATTACATGCTAGTGATTTTCAGCCGCGGGTGGTTATAATCGGGTAACGCTGATTCGCTATATTTTCGAGTCCCACGATAGGTAACATACGCACGAATTCGAATGGACTTACAACATGGATTAAGGAGCCATCATCTGAGCTGCCGGGTTACCATAATTGAGGAGGAAAAAATTGGAATCGAGTAGTTGGACACCGAGGCCTGAATTGAGGAAATCGCGAGTACTCATCCGCTTGCCTACTCTGTGCAGTCGCCGTGAAGGCAAACCGGGATACACGCGACGAAACCCCATTTTGGCCCTACCCCCGACAATCGCCCTAATTAGCCGGCGGTCTGGCGCCCTAAATAATCGGGGGTAGTGAGTCAAACAGGCCTTGTGGCGGAAGAAACTCGTAGCGCGGTTAAAACCCCCGAAATTCCCCGCCATAATATATAAATTTTATATATAATATAGAGAGAAAACTTGTAGAAAATATATGTGTTAACAGAAACAATTGTTAATAGAAAAGATATATATTAGAAAATTGATCTATAATCTATCTATACAATAGTAAAAAATTATTTGAAATTATATTTGTGTAATATTCTAGATATTCAAGAATATTATGTAATAACATTATTGGATCATGTTAATTGCAACGATTCAATGGTAGATGGATATGAAATCTCATCGTATCCGTGTGATATAATATGTCATCAATTTCATTCATTATCATCAGAGTCTTCTTATGTAAGTATAACATAATAATAATTTAATATTTCAAACATATTAATTACGGTTATCAATACATAATTTAATAGGACGATATATATTAAAGAATTCATAATAACACATGTCCACATCCAAAAACACAGTAACGTAATAATATTTTCGAAGGTATTCAATGCGCTGAATCGGAATCTGGTTTCAGAATTGATCCTAAGATTCTCGAGATATCCTAATTTTAAAGTGCAAAAATTAATATTTTGTGCTATGGTCAAAGTTATGTTAAACTGAATAATTTTTTTTTTCAAAAACTAGTCAACCGTTATAAAGCACGAGTCTTGCTCTTCAAACCTCATTTCTTGTATTAGAAATATTTTTTTTTTCATCAAGATATCATCGATTAATGTTAAGTATTTCAGAAGTTTAGCAACAACACTAAAATCACAGGTTACAGGGGTTGGAGGTTAAAGCAATTGAGGTTCAGGGTTTTAGGGATTATATGATCACAGGTTAAGGGGTCGGAAGTTAAGGAAATTGAAGTTTAAAGTTCTGAAGTATGCTAGATATACGTATTTGACCATCGAACTGTTTGAATGTTTTTGCGGAACTGCTAAATTACTTAAAGTCAATCAATAATATCTCGATGAAAGAAAAAAGATATTTTTAATTTTGTAAATGAATTTAAATGAACAAGAGTGCTGATTTGTCACCACTATACTTGTTTTTAGAAAACAAATTTATTCACTGTGTTACATAACCGTGACATATCAAAATATCGTGATTTTTGCACTTTCAATATTGTTACACGATGATTGACGACAGCACCAGCAGGTGCTGCCGCCACTCAGGTATTTCTAGGGCCACAGCACCCTTTCACACATACACGAGCATACATTACGAATGGCGCACGCAGGCACTGGATCATGTCGATGATAAAAAATGTAGCGATGCTACATCTAGGAAAACTGTGGCACGATATATGGCAGTGTTTCTTTTTATTTGTTTGATAGTGGCATGTTTATTACAAAATCCAAAATAATGTTTTGGTATAATATTTTGTTTTAATAGTTCATTATTTAATTTAATTGCTATTATTTTTTTACAGATTTTCGAAAGAGTAGGGATTAAGCTTACTGGTCTATAAGATGAAATAAGTTCAGGCGATTTATCAAGTTTTGCAATAAGCATTACTGTTGCAATTTTCCACTATGTAGGAAAGTAGAACAGTCTGAAGATTACATTTATTACTATAGTGATGTATCTTTTTGCTTTTAAGGGCTGATCTTTTAGTAACTTAGTATTTATACTGTCATGTCCTAGCCTTTTTTCATATTTTAGATTTTCTATTATATTACATATTTCTTAAACTTTAGTACAGTATGTTCTGGAGCTATTGCAGTTGACAATTTGTTCAGTTGTTTGAAAGTTATTCAGTTTGGTAATAATTCATTCGTAGGGTATGAATGTATTTTCTAAGTGTTCCACGAAAAGAGTTGCTTTATCTTTGTCCGTTCTGATCTACGGCACCTTATTTTTTAATATTGGAGAAATAAGCTATTGAGGTTATTTTATTCTTTTAGTTGCCTTCCGGAGCCAATAGTCTGTGTCTTCTGTGGCTAATAAGTTTTCTGAATAATTTTGTATTCCTTGGTTTTTTTCCGTGCATAAAATTTTTTTTGATTCTCTAATTAATATATAGTAATTTGTTTTATCCTGTTTCAGTCTACTCTGCTACCATACTCTTCTAAGTTTTCTTTTTTCTTTGAGTTTTTGTAAAGCTTCTTTTGTGATAAGTATGTTGGATTTAGATGTTATTTTTAATTTGGGTGTTACAATTTCAATAGCTGAGTGTATGTTTTGGTTCAATGTGTTAATAGCATTATGAATATCTTTCTGAGTTTTGAGTGGTATTTTACACTTTACCTTTTCATTAATTACTGCCCTACATACTTCTTAGTTAGTTTTTTTGTTATATAATGAGTTATTTTTTATATTTAACTTAATTTTTGCATCATAATTGAGGATTATTAGAGAGTTGTCTGAGTTAAGACCAAGACAAGATTTAGCTACAAAATGTTCGGAGCATAGGCTTTTGATGATTGCGAAGTCTATTAAATTTGGTAATTTATTCAAGTCAGAAGGCCAGTACGTCGGTTTGCCCGTTGATATCGGGGTAAGGTGTCTTTCCTTCATTACTGAGTATAATTTAACACCTTCTGGATTCGGAGTATCCAATCTAGAGCCCTATTAGGGATGTTTTGCGTGATAATCTCTTCCTGCCATAAAACGATATCCTAAACTATCCAAATAATCTTTGTAGTAGTCTCCGATAATAGCATTAAAAAGCAATGTTTTTAGCTTTATACATCTTTGAGTCAAACCACTTGCGTTCCATATTGCAATTTGAAATCCTGAGTTTCTTTTTATTTTATTTACTAGCGTGATAAGCAGATATAAGTATTATATCCATTCTATTCATTACCTGCATCATCATATCTTCCAAGTGATTGTTATTATTTACTATAGATTACTGTGGCGCAGGCTGTTTTGATTCTTCAAGAGTATTTGTGTTACTCTGTATAACATGTGTAAATATATAATTTGGTCTAACGGTATTTTCGCTAATTTCAATTTCGGTCGGTTGCATAGATCTCAGCGCAGGAAAAACTTTTTGTTGGAGAAGTTTTCTAGCGTTATATCCTTTGTTCCTGTCACGTGATTTCCTCCATAGTTTACACATTTAACTTGTTTTATTTTCGTTTTTATTGGATAATTTGCAGTAAGATGATTTTCTATACCTTTTTCGTAGACTGGAATTCTATGGCAGTAATTTGTTATGTCGCCGAGTCCCTGAGAACTTATACATTGAGGGATTTCCCTTTTTTTACGTGGAAGCTTAAAACTAATAATTTGGTTGATCAAATTGTTGATATCATAAATATTTTTATTATTTTCATTAGATTTTAGTTCAACGAAGAATATCGCTAGAGGCTGTTCGTTTATTTGATATCTTACGTTACATATTCCAGTTACTGTGTGACCGTTTTGTTCAATTTCTTTTATCAGTTCATTTATATCAACTGATAGATGGATGTTCTTTAGTACCATTTTGTATGGTTCGTCATTTTCTTTGAAATGTGTAAAATATAGTATTTTTGTTTTCTAATTTTTTAACTATCAGGGTATAGAGTTCTGAGTTTTTGACTTGAATTGCAACTTACTGATTGTTGATGACTTTCAAGGAAAAATTATTTAGTGCTATTTTGTCTATTAATTATTTATTGGACTTATGTTTTCTAAGCCACTTACGAATGTCTATGTTGCTTGTTTCCATAGTTTTTGTATTTGACTCTCTCTTTGGTTCTTATACTTGGTTCTTATACTGCTTATGGTCTTCCATTCGGTTGTTTTATCTCTGGGTAATTCTTCGTTATTGTTGTTGTATTGTGTGAAGTATTGTTGCTGTACTGCAACTATGACTGCTATTTTTATACCTTGTCTGTTAATTAATTTGTTATTTCCTATTAGTCCTGTGGTACTAAGCTTAAATGGACCTTGTTCATATTTACAAAATTAAATTATACACTTTCTTTTTCTATAACATTTTAGTTTTTTACTCTCTCCATGCTATCGTACGTTCGTACAGGGCGAGCACTACAAACAGACCGAAGTACACTTAAAATGCAAAAAGTCACGACGAAAAATGTTTTCTAATGTTCTACAGGTTCTAATTGATAATTTACTATGATATACATTGCATATTACTTACAAAACTTGTAGAATTGTTAATAAAAAATATAAGGATTATATTTCTCATGATCGGAACTGCATACGATAGTTCCGTATTGACATGAGATGTGAAATAAAATTTATTTCATTGTATTAACCCCTTCAGAGGTAGCGTATCATATATGATACACCTAAATTTTTTCAGTTTTTTATTCATACCACGACCGCTTTGAGCTCAATCGCTCTTGAATGAATTTCTATACCATCATTAGTACTTAGGCTTCGTAATGCTTTGATTAAAATATTGAAGATTTATTTATTCAATTATTTATAAACAATAAAAGGAGTAAAATTTTCAGTTTTTCAAATAAATTCGGTCTTGGAGAGAGTTTTTAAGATAATTATATTAAAATTTGTATGAAAGGGCTTTTGAAGGCGCTGATTACGAATCCGGTATCAGAATTTGAAAAATTAATATGGCGGACCCAATATCAAATGTGGCGGCTATTTTCGGTTAGAATTGCGTTTTCTGAGTATTAAAATAGACGCCATATTGGATCCACCATTTTTTATTTTGATAATTGGACTTCAGATTCGTAATCAGCGATCCCGGAAACCCAAGTATACAAATTTTAATTCATCTAAGCTTCAGATTGAAAATTATGTCCGCCATTTTAAATTTTGAAAATCGGACTTCAGATTCGTAATCAGCGACCCAGAAAATCTTTATAAACACTTCCAGGTTCAGGATAAGTGCAGCAGAAAAAAGTGCCTCTAAAGGGTTAATCAAAACTTAAGATAAATTGTAAACTTCATTTTCGAGGATGAACTTTGAGGGCGAATTTCATATCCTTAAAGTGTTTTCCACGAATAAAAAAAAAACGTGCTACTTATTTCTCTATGAACTACAACATATTAAAAGAATATCGAAATCGATGTAACCGGGTTGGAGGTATTTCTTTGATAGTTTATAGATTAATTCTGAAGCCAGATTTCAATTCATCGCTTTAAAAACTTACATAACTATACTATCGTATTTTTAGGTTATTTTTTCATTTTTAAATGTTGTCGGCCTGTGTAATATATTCATTACCGTTGAGTTGTAAAGGGATCAGACAATATCACGATCAAGACACTTCAACTTTATTTATTTTATTTCTTATCATTAATACAAATAAATCGGGATTTTCATCGACTTAATAATTAAAAATTATGTAGTCCTCATTAATTAATAATAATTAATTTCGTACACAAACACGTGGATATTACTCACGGTTATAGCTATATGCAGTATA